AAATTGGGTTCGCGCAGTAGGCGCAGCGTACATAGATTTAAATTTGCGCGTATAATAGCACTCTCCGTATATATAGCACGCGTATAAATTTTTTTTTTGTGCACATTTTTTTGCATTTGTGCCAATAAAAATTTTTTGAATTTATAACACTGGCTGTAATGCCATAATGCCGTAATTCCGTAATGCTGTAATTCCGTAATGCTATAATGCTGTAATATCATAATCAGTGATGTAAATTGGGTTCGCACAGTAGGCGCAGCGTACATAGATTTAAATTTGCGTGTATAATAGCACTCTCCGTATATATAGCGTGCGTATAAATTTTTTTTTTGTACACATTTTTTTGCATTTGCGGCAATAAAAATTTTTTGAATTTATAACACTGATCATAATACTATAGACATTTGCATGGCAATAATGCGATACCGTAATACTATAGCTAGGGATGGGTTCAGTTACAACTATAGTCAACTATAGTCGACTATTAGTCGTAGTCGATATTTAGCTGACCGATGGCTTAGCTGACCAGCTAAATTTGTAGTCGGTGCCAGATTTTTAATTTTCTGGCCAATAAAAGTGATAATTAATACTAAATTTGACATGAGACTATGTCAGCGGATCTACACCAGGAACCCTTTATTTATAATTCTGGTCAAATTTGCAGATCATTTGGCCAGATCTAGAACAAACCAATTTTAAATCTGGTCAAATGATCTGTGACCTTAATCAGGTGATCAGATCTACAAATAATTTCTTGTATCGTAGATCTGCAGCTTGGGCATTTGTCAATCATTAATAGCTTTCGCAATAGTAAAAATATAGGATAATTCAGGACAATTTAGGAATTTAGAACATTCAAAAACAAATATTTTTATTTTAGAATAATCCGAAAACCAACTTTACTCCCAGCTATAAAAAATAACCTTGACTGAACAGTAAAAAAAAAAAAGTAAGATCTTTCACTACGAACTTTATTAGTGATTATTTATTCACAAAATCAGTAAATTTACTGTGTGTTATCTTAAATCTAAAGATTACTTTAAACAATAAACACTAGAGGAATGTTATCCTGCAATAGCATTATAATGTTTAGATACAACAGCATTATGGTATTTTAATATAACGGCATTACGGCATTACGACATTATGGCATTATGACATTACGGCATTACGGCATTACAGCATTATGGCATTGTGGCATTGCGGCATTACGGCATTGCGGCATTACAGCACAAAGTAATTATGGCAAATAATACGACACATGCCATAACTGTGTTAATTTGCCAAATTAATTCTACTGCCAACACTATGTGTTACAATCAAGTGGAAGAGCTTATAAGATCTTAGACCAATTTAGCTTCGATCATAGACAAATAGTAGATTCAGTAGTAAAATTTAATAAGGTCATAAAGTTAACAAAATATATTACATGTTTAACAATATAACATATTGTCGATCAATAATTCAGTAATTTAATTTATTCTATGAGACTAACTTTATTATTGTAGGTTAAAAGATTTCTCTTTATTATCTTAATTTCAAGAACTTGTTACAAATAAACTTGGAAAGGTAGAATTTCACTTGAGTGTATCTGCAAATAATAATGCACACTTCTGCGAGTGATCATTTTTCTCATTTTCCCACCAAAACCCTACCTATTTATATTCTTTTATTGTTACTGGGGTTTTAATTCCTCATTTGAGGTTTCAATTCCTTGCTTGGGGTTTCTATCTCTCACTTGGAGTTTCTATCTCTCACATGGGGTTTCAATCTCTCACTTGGGGTTCAATCCCTGAATACACCACAATAATCTTAACCCAAATAAGAAATGCATAAAAATAAAGTAAAAAAGATAATACTAAACAAAAAAAGAAATAAATAAAATTGAAGTATAAAATTATCCCTTATTTGAAAAGATGAGCTCCTATAAATCATCAAATGAATGATACAATTCTTCTTGTCTTTGAGCTCTAGCCTCAGCTAACAGGCTGTCAGAAAATCTTCATCAAACATTTTTTCAAGAATAGTGATATTTATATGTTCCACTAAGCATAAGTATTTTTCTCCAATTGATATACTCTTTTTGATATTTTCTACATGCATTTCCTTTTGTCTGGCTTAAAATAAGGATTCGAATTTTTCTAGTGATATTGTTCTATTCTTTTTCGGCAATGACGATTCCCAGTTAATAATAAGTTTCTAAAATTTGTTCATTTGATCCATTTTGTGTATTTAATTTGAGTACCTTATGACAAGAATAGTCAAATTTCTGATTCCAATCTTCACCAGGAATTTCAAGAGATATAACTGGGTCTTTCGGGTCTCCTCTATTAATATCTTGAAGATAAATGAATATGTTTTCTCTAATTCTTTTGGATAAAGTTTTCTTTTCTGGCAAAATAATATATTCTGAGATTTCTTGTTCAGATATTTGAAGGGTTACACAATCTTGATCTAAAACTATAAGTTTATCTAATTCTAATACAGCAGCTAATTTTTGTATACAGGATCGAAGCTTCAAGTCATTGTTCCATAGTATTATTTATTCTATTTATTTATTTATTTATTTTTTTCATTTTGGTCAGTTTACTGCCTCTTTTATAAAATTCTTATACTAAGAGCTTTTATGATCTATAGTTTTAGAGAGAAATAATACAAGGTTCCATTCTATGTATAGCTTTAATAAGCCACCATGTACACTTTTCTCCAACTCCTTTTTTTCTATTGTTCATAGTTTATAAGTTCCATTTTTAAATATTTCATAGATCCAATAAGGCCCAAGCCATTTTGGCTCTAGCTTCTCACTTTTTCAAGTATCAAGTTTTGCTTTATACCATCAGACCTTATCTCCAATAGAGTAATTACTTAAAGCATATCCTCTATCATGATTAATATTCTGTTTCTCTTGACATTTAGTATTTCTTAATGCTATAGCTCTTGTTTCTTTTAAATTATCTATGAGGGTTACTATTCTGGTAATTATTATTAATTGCACCTTTTCCTCATTTATGAGTATATAATAATATCTAATTCAACAAATAACCTAGCTTCTCTACTATATCTATAACTATATAATAAAAATATTTGTGTGTAACAATAACATTTAAATTACTAATATAAATAATTCAATTCAATTGTATAGCATTAAATCTGTTATTCTGATTTGTCAATAAATTCTTTAAATTTATACAAGAAGTTATTAAGATATCTTCAAGGTTTAAATAAAGTTGTAGAGGAGATAATTCTGAGTCAAATAGTGGTTAGATCATCAAAATCGGCCTAATGGTTCTTGAGATATCTTGGATTAAAGGCACAAACATAAGGATCAGCAAAGTCACTATTACACAAAGTATTGATTTTGTTAATCTTTATATTTAGATCTTTAATCCCATATATCTCGATAATTATTGGCCCGATTTTGATGATCTAACTACCATTTGACTCAGAATTATCCTCTCTACAACTTTACTTAATATCTTTACTTAATAACTTCTTACATAAACTTAAAGAAACTATAATTGGACCTACTTCAGGTTCAATGTAATCTACTTTGGAATCAAAATATACAAAAGGTAGTTTTTTGTAATTATCTTGACAGCCAGCAGTCCAATCTGGATGAAAATTTTTTTAAATAAAAGCTCTCAATAAGACACATCCAATAAAAAAAGTTTATTTAATTCTAATTACTATATTTTAAAATATTTAAAAAACAATAAATTTTTAATTTTAATAAATTAAATTAAAATTAAGCAAAACCAAATTATAATCTAGATTAGAGATAAAATTATTTAAATTAATTTGTTTTAAATTTAAATTTTTATTTTATTTTATATTAAATCTTTTCTGTATATCACATGGGTTCATAGCTTAATAATTATAAAAGTTTTTCTATATATTTATTTATTTTAAAATTATATTTAAAAATATTATAAGTTTATTCCTGTGTATTATTGCACAGGGTTACAACTAGTACTAAATAAAAAGACTCATATTTTGTAGTGTTATGTTGCATTGTACAGTAAGCGAATAATGCTAGTTAAATAAATTCATCCCAATCTTCTTTATATTGAATCATGCATTTGGATAATATTTCATATAAAGTTCGATTAAACCTTTCAATCTGACTATTCGTCTGAGGATGATTGGTCGATAATATTACATGTTTAATTCTAAATCCTTACAAAGACCTTCTATTATTTTGTTATTAAAATGAGTACCTTGATCAGATATAATTTCTTTCAGACTCCCATGTCTACTAATAATTTCATTAACTAAAAAAGAGGCTACCGATTCAGCCTTGCAATCGGGTAAAGCACAAACTTTAGGCCATTTAGTAAAAAATTCAATAGCTATGATTAAATATTTATTTCCTTATTTGGTCTGAAGTAAGGGTCCAACAAAATCAATTCCGATGCAATCAAATAATTGTGCAGGTTTTATGGGGTGTAAAGATTTATGGGTTACAGGTCATCCTCTTTGTTGACAGATTTTACATCCCTTTATAAAGTTTTTATCTCTGATATTATTTTTGGCCAGTTATATCATTTAGTAATTTTATCAATCGTAGCTCTTTCACCCATATATCCTCATATAGCACTTTCGTGAACCATATTTAAAATAATCTTTACTTCTTTTCTTTGAATTACTTGTAGAGAATTTGATATTCCTTCCTTCTTTCTTCGATATAGTATTCCTTCTTAAACCCAAAAGTACTGGGCTTGAGCCTTCAATTTGTGACCTTGTACTCTATTGTATTCAGATGGTAGATTTAATTTAATGAGATATTTTACTAATACTTGATAATTGTTTTTTTCATATCTAAATAATTACTTTTCTATTATTGTCAAGACACCAGAAACTGAACTGGATTCTGTACTTCAAATTTTTGTAAGTTTTTTTTTTTTTAATATTTGATTCTAGACAAAGTATTTACATGTGAGAGTTGTTTTCTGGCACGATACTTAACTATGAAATTATATCCTTGAAGAGTTATAATTAATCTAGCCATTCTTCTAATTAGATTTTCTATATTATGTAAATATATCAAGGCTGAGTAATCTGTGATAATAGTAAATTTAGATCTATGCAAATATAAATAAAACTTTTTCATAGCCCATCCTACTGCAGTACATTCTAATTTCATAATTGTATAGTTCTTTTCCACAGGGCGATTAGCTCTACTTGTGTATTCAATAACTCATTCTTTTTTATTTTCATCTAATTGAGTTAAAATTGCTCCCAAAGCTAAGTGAGATGCATCCGTATAGAGGATATATTTCTTTTTATTATTAGAATAAACAAGTATAGGAGCTGTAGTCAAAGTTTTCTTTAATTTATTAAAAGCATTTTGTTAATTTGTACTCCATTTATATGGTTCTTTATTTTTCAATAATTTATATAATGGTGCAGCATTATTAGCAAAATTCTTCATAAATCTTTTATAATTTTCTAATAAGTATTTCATTTCTTCTTTTTGTTTTCCCATTAGTGGTCCCAAATTAAAATCTTTCTTTTCTTCATTATTACTAAAATAAACAGTTTCTAATTCTAAATTACTTTTAAAGTTATATACTTCATCATTATATTCTTTTTTCAAACATGTTTTACAAGTCTCAGATTCATTACAAATTTCCTGAAACTCCAAATAAAAGTAGGTTTTATTTATTAATTTTTTTTCTTATATTCTTCTTTATTTTCAGATTCTGTCTCATCATCTGATATGTATTTTTCTTCCATCTCTTTCTCATTATTCTGGAGTTTATCTTTTTTTTGAATTCGTTCCAAAATATTTGCTAGTTTACAATATTTAGTAGCAATTTTTAATTTTTTCTTCACATTTTAAATCATCAATTTGCATTATTCCCAGTTTAATCTTGCTCTGGCCTTTTTTAATTAATCATTCCTTACAATTATGGCATAATTGCTAGCTTCTATTACAATAGCATGTGAAGTTATAGTTTTTTCTCCAACTGTTATAGGGAATTCATCAACTTCACCTAAGGAACGCTTTTGTTCTTCAAATACTCTGATTATTACTACAGTCGATGAATGATCGATTGAAACTCCAACTTCTTTTAAAAAATTCTCAGAAATAACACATTTAGAAGATCCCTATCAGGTATTAAAAGAATCTGTTGACCTTTTACTTGTGCTTCACAATATATTGAAGTAGTTTTTAAATTTTCATCTTGTCTTAAACAAAAATCAGCGATTTTAGATGTGGTTATTCTACTAGCCTGTGTTATTTTAGAAATTTCTTTTCTTATATTAGAAGCTACTTGAAATAATTGAGCATAAGTGATGTCTGCTTTTTTACTTTGTAGATCGGCTATTACAAATAAGGTTAGATATTTGACGTTATTAAAGGCTCAATAGGTTTGGTTTTTCTTTTTTTCACTACAAATTTTTTTGCAGGTTTATGTACATGATTTTTAGTTTCTTCCTTATTTAATTCTGGGGTTTCTACTTTAGCTGCTTCACCATTATTTGTTTTCCTTTTTTTCGCAGCATAAACTTCAAATACAGATTCAACTAAGAGGTTTTTCAATTTAGATACACTCTCACCCTCTCAAGGTGTGTTTTTTAGTTTAAAGGCTGTTCTTCTTCTATTACTTGTACTAACATTGCTTGGGCATGCTGCACATCAACAGTAGTGTAATAGAACAATAGAACATATGATACACTTTGTAAAAGGAATACAGCTAATGTAACTTATAGTTTATTAAATCGCAAACTAAAAATAATAATACAAAAAAAAAAAAAACTTTTGCTAATGGTAGTATAAAAAAGATAAGATTAATCGAACTGTCACGTGGTCCATGTGACCTACATGATATTTGATCAGAACAGATCGCAGTAGAGTGAATGGCATGGAGATCATGGGCATGCCAACATGGCATGCCAATGGTGGCATGCCAACGGCATGCCCAAAACACAAATAGTCTATAGGCATGCCATTTATATATATTCCAAATATTCCGAACAAAAAGTGAATTTTGAGTAGAATTAAGAGCAAAGTTCCAGAATATTCCAAATGGTAATGCAACATGTATATTATAATTGACTAATCAAAATAAATATATATATCACGTGGTCTAAAGGCATGCCACCTGGCATGCCTGGCACGAGCTTTAGCAAATGGCATGCCATCTGGTATGCAAAATTTCTTAGCTATGCCATACACCCTAGATCATAGGCATAATATCAGAAATAATAAATAAATGATACAGATATTAATAGCAAAGTCAGTCATACAGTATTGATAATGCATAAAATATATCATAATATAGTAGAGTCTAGTATTGCAATAACAATGCATTAATAGCGATTGATAAGTAATTAAAAAGTTAAAATATGTATGAGCAATAAATAATATAATTTGTAGTAGCAAAAGAGTATGTATAAAATTGCAAGAAAAATAAAGAGTTAATTAGTGCTTTTTCGCAAAATTATTGTCCCATATAAAGTGACATAATAACAAACCGAAGTGGTGGCCTTGTGTGGTCTATAAGTAATTGTGTTGCCATATCTTTTAAGATAGAACTTAGTAGCTTAGACTACTATTAACCTCTTTGTCAGCAAAATCTGGGTAAATTAAAGGTATCTCTCGCAACATAAGAATAAATGATACACCAGAACATTAATATAAAGAAATTATATGAACACGTTATCAGCCAGTATAATATAAGAAATACACACATAACTGATACCATTTCAAGACGTAAGAAACAAATATGAAGAACCTATTATTAATAAATCATAAAGAACATTAGTAAGTCATTAATATATGTCGAGGAGCAGTCCAGTTCTTGAAGTGTTGTTGAATGTGAGATTTGATAGTTGGAGGGTTACTAATAATGTCATTATCTAGTTTGATATTGTTAAATTTAACTGAGAATACTATTAATTATAGAGGTAGGGTTAGTTTAAAGTTTAGAGCATCTTTTATTAATAGCCTTATAAATTTTTTAACTAATTTCTTTGATATCTTTTATATTACAAACATGGAAGAGATTTTTCCACTTGAGTTGGTGGTGTTAGTTATTCAAGAGGTAAGGAGTTGGTGTGAACTTGGAAGTTGAGGAATGTGTAACTTAGAGGATTAGTTAAATAAAGAGATGGAATTATTAAGATGATAAGGAATAGGTAACTGGTGTTTGAAAGCATATTTAGTTTGTTAAATAATATTTCTAAGTTTCTTGAAGTTTAAGTAAAGATGAGTAGCTTTAGAAAAGAATATATGTTGAAAATTGCAGATAGAAAATTTTTTGTTGGGAATATGTTTGAGGGCAGCTGTAATTATACTGGTATGAATTTTGTGCCAAGTAGTTTCAAGAGATTCTGAAGTGTGAGTTAAGAAAGGTGTATGATTAGAATCAAGATTAGTGCTAACTTGGTTTGAAAATTCTTTCCATTTTATATTGTTCATAGCCTTGTAGTTAAAAATTCTTCTACATGTATGTGTTTTATGTCTGCATTGGCCATGCAGAGCATATGGAAAAGACTAGCAAGAAATGAAAATTTGTAATCACTTAGTGAGTTAGTATCTGTATTATTAATCTCAAAAGAGATAAGGTAAGTTAAGATCATGTAACATGCTTAGATGAAGTCAATTTCACTGCTAATTCTAGAATTATGCTATGTAGAAGCAGATAAGGAAGTATGCAAGACAAGATTGTACATATTATTATATGTAAGGAATTGAAGAAGTTTGTATTTAATCTACTCAGATTCCTTCACCACCAAATCTCACAATTCAAACTTCCCAAATCCCTCCTATATTTGCTAATAGCCTTGCTCTTGATTCTCTTCAATTGATTGCAAATCACAATTTGTATTCTACTAATCTTACTTTCTATACAGATGGGTCTGTTATTAGTACTAATAACCTTCAATGCTCTATGGGTATTGGATGGTTACAAGTCGATAACAATAATATTCTTTAAACATTCCATGCTCAAATTTCTTTATAGCCATGTTCATTTAAAGCTGAACTATTTACAATACTATCTGCCCTATACACCACACCCAGAAACTATTATATTCACATCTTTACAGACTCCCAATCTGTCATCTTCAAGTATAACAGTCTAACTCAGCAAACAACTAATGTCAAGCCCTTAAACACTCCATACTGGTCTATGTGGAATACGCTTCTTAACCTCATTAAATTCTATAACTTAAAAATTACTTTCCACAAAGTTAAAGCTTACCAGAATAATATATTTAACAATAAAGCTGATCAACTAGCTTGTGACTACATCAATACATCATATCTTATATTCAAGCCTAGTAACATTTATAATTCTTCATATATCCCTTTTGCAGACAATTACCCTCTCGAACTTTCTACTCGTCTTAGCATTCGAACAATATGCTATGCAAAATCTTTGCTACCTGGTTCTCCCAAAACCGTTTCCAACTATGGATACAAATTTCTCAGCATATCAACTGGGATGCAACTTGGCTTTATCTCAACAACAACCAAAAAGTTTACAACTTTGCTCACAGTTTCCAATTCTCTATACTCAAAACATTTAGAATTAAGTTACTAACTAATGAACTTCCTGTTCTTCATATTTTACATAAAAAAAAACCATTCTTTTCCTAATACTTGTCACAATTGTCAACAAACTAGCACTTCATTACACTGGACAATTTGCTCTTCTCCAAACCCTTTATATCATCTTATCTAAAATTCTATACAAACAATTTTAACTTCTTACAAACTTCAAGTCTCTCTAGCTCAAATTTGCCAATTGCATAACCAAATCTCTAATCTTGATAGCCTTCAAACACACAACTCTTCTGACAACTCTCAATCTTTTTTACACTATCTGGATTTATCCTACTAGATATTATATATACAATTAGAGAATATACTATATCAAATCAAATGGCTAAATCAATTATTATACAACTACTTTTTCATATTAACAAGCAATTATATACAAACATATGAATCCCTTATTGTGCTTCTAGACCCTAATCTCAACCTATACAATCTCAAGCAACTTTATCATCTGAATCTACAACCAATATACCTTCTGTAACAACTAACTCTAATATTACTTCATGAATATCTCTTTCAAAACTATCATTCTGGTATTCTAACTAGATTTAATTCCGCACACACCCTTCATATATTTTCAATCTAACTCAAATCTAGGTGAGCCTTGGCCACTCAGGTAGGTTTAGACTACAGATAAAAAACTAGGCCTGTTTATTTGACATTTTTAGTTAGTCTGAGTTCTTATTCTTAGCACTAAACTTAAAATATAAAACCTTTTCCAATTATGTAAAAAATTTTCAGTAAGTTTAATAAAGATAAGAGCATGGTCTCACCTTTAACATTAAAGAAAAAAAAAAAAAAAGTTTGTATTTAATAGAAGAAGAGTGGATGTTATCAGTGGAGGCATTGAAGTTACCAAGTACTATAGAAAGTATATTAAGAGAAAGTGCTCTTTTAACTATTTAATAATTGTGTTCTGGGTTTCAAGTCTAATAGAGCTATTGTCACAAAGAAGATATATTAAGATGATGTAGAATTTGAAATCATGTTTGAAGAAGAGATCGATTGAGATAGTGTAACCTGAAATAAATTTAGTATTATGTATATAAGGAGTTAAGGAATTATGAATCATAATAGAGATTCTAGCTTTCAAGCTATCAGTGCAGGATTGAAAGTAGGTATAGTGTAGTATTTTAAAAGGCTTTAAAGTAAGTTTATTACTAGCTAGTTTTGTTTCAGTTAAACAGATGATGTTAAGATTATTAGAAAGGCAATAATCTTCCCAAACTTGCTATTTAAAATTTTTGTTAAAACCTCGAATGTTGTATATACATAATGAAAGATTAAGAGATAAGGGAGAGTTGTTATTATGAGAGTTGTAGGTAGATAGGTTTATTGAAATGTATTGTGAATTATTTGGAGAGTGTAGAGTCAGATTAGGTGTATGTAAAAGTACAAATGAATTAATAAAGAGAGAGTCATCAATAGAAGTTGGTATAAAAAAGTTGTTATCTGTAGTTTGTATATAAGATCTGAGATGAACATATCTGAACCAGTGAAGTAAGTTTTAAAAGGAGGGAAGAAAATAGTTTAAGAGTGGTCAAGTTTTATTAAGTAAATAAATATGTACTTCTTTATAGTGGTTATCTTTATCTTTTTTGTTAAAGATAGAAATTTTAATATGTTGAAGTGTATAGTATAAAGGAAATTCATTATAGATATAGCGTAAAAAGGTGTAAATTGTTTGTAGATGTTGAATTGGAGATAGATTACACAGGTCGAAATAAGGCAAATCGGGTTCAAATCAGCAGCACAAAATCCTGATATGAACCTGATATGAAACAGATATTTGACGCAAATAGGGCACCTATAAAATATAATTTGGATTGATATCAGCATACAAGATATATCAGCAAATCAATAGCTCAATAGGTAAATTGATTGAGCTATAAGTTAATCTCTATCAATTTACCTATTAAGCTATCGTTTTGCCAATATATCTTGTATGCTGATATCAATCTAAATTGTATTTTATAGGTGCTCTATTTGTGCCAAATATCTGTTTCATATTGGGTTCATATTAGGATTTTGTGATGCTGATTTAAACCCGATTTGTCTTATTTTGACCTGTGTTATGATAAAAGAAAAATTTATTATAATATGTAAGAAGGTCTATAGTATTAAGCAGTTCTGTTACTTGAATAATTGTTTCATTAAAAGATTGGTTTGGTACATGGTAATCTTCACTATTATATTCTTCTTCTAATAATATTTCATATAATAAGCATGATGAGTCAGAAAGTTGATCATTGTTAGTGTTTAGTGTAGTAGATGGATCATAGGAGGTTAAAGATATTAAAGATAATACCACCAGAGAATTGTCTTTTGTATCAGTTACTGTATACTCAGCTCGCATAGTTCCACAAGAGTTAGCAACAATCAGATTAGATATTAGAGAGTTGTTTAATCCTAATCCTTCTGAGTAAATAGGCTTAACCACCTGCCCACTTATATCATTTTCTCTCTAACTACAAGAGATGTATCTTTTAGAGAGGTAGTGGCTACATTAATGTAGCTTGCAAAAGACATGTTTAAATGAAAAGAAGATTCATTAAGAAATAATAAATTGTTAATTTGATTAGAAACTTCGAATATTATATTATGTTTTTCAGAGAGAATTCTTTCAGTTCCAAGATAGGCAATGCTTGTATAATATTATATAAGGTGACAAAAGGATGATTCTTTTTAATAGGTTTGTTTAAAATAGGTGATGATTCTTGCTAGGTAGTCAGTACTAACTACTTTAGCAGTAATTTTGTTAATAGTATCTGTTTGGGTTAGGTAATGAATTTGTAAGTTTTTGGCAGCTTGTTTTTGGTATGTTTGAAGGTATTGATAAAAGAAACTATTTTGATATTTAGTAAAAACAACAGTATAATTTTTGGTATAAAAATCTTGTTCTGCTAAATCTGCTAGTTTATCAAGAAGTTTGGTTAAAATTGTTTTAAGAAGGTGGCTTCATTTCCAGAATCAAGTCTGAAGATTGAGAAATCAATTTCCAGGTTAGATCTATTAATTTCTTTTGGGTATTCTTTGTAAGATTTGGTTAATAAATTCTTAAAAAGTTGGGAAGTATCATGTTTATAATTTTTCTAAATAAGATTGCAGTTTTTATATTTGCAAGTTAGAATATGGAAGTTA